ACACACACACACACAAAACTACCTACTCATGAAGTTTTGAGACATCAAAAATTTCCACACTTTCATGCAATTTGGTCTCAATGAAGGTACCTGAAAGGATTTTGTGTGGATAACAAGAACTTTTCAGTCTCCTCTGAACACATCAAGCCAGGCATCAATTCAGTGAAACTGATGGGTACAAAAACTGGGACCTTCAGTGTGCAATGAATGGGCTTGACGAGTGAACAACCTTTGTTTCTCCCAAATAAACCTCTTCTATGTATGTTCCCTGTTGTGGGCCTCAATGTACAGGGATTCTCTACGGAAGGGTAGGGGGGGCATATGGCAAACTATGTAATTGAACGGCATTGGAGTGTTTAGCGCAATAAGATAGTGTGATTGTTAGATAAGATGTTATTGTTTGCAGAATTTTGCCAGAGGGTAAGTAGAGTTTTTGTGCAACGATGCATGTTTGTTTAGGATGGAAAACGAGTTTCCCCTCCCAAACAAACATATTTAAGAGAGGAGGAATGTAGCATTCACCCTAAGTTATGCATTGTAAGTTATGCATTATTCTTATTATATGTTAATATGGTTAAAAGGCGGAGCCTGAGAGAAGAGGCGCAGTCTGAGAGAGTCTGAGTCTGGAATCAGAGTGAGAAGGATAGGTTGGGGATCCGAGGAGTGATTAGCTAGAGTGTATCCTGTGATAATTAATATAGAAGGTTAATATTAATAATTAGTGAAACTTGAATAATATGCTTATGAATTATTCCAGCTACCAACTTTAATTAATAAACTTGTTCTGTTGAAACGTCAACACTGGATGGACCTTCATCTTTTTCTAAGTAAACTAAGTTGATAAAAGAGATCACCTGGTGGCAGCGTATTAAGAGGTACCTTGTGAGCTCTGTGTTTGGGGAAACAAGCAGGGACCACGACCAGCGGCGCCACAATTGGACTGGGATTGCCCTCCAACTCCATGCAGTCTCGGGAGGGATCGGCCATCACAGGAGCAGCAGTTCTAACCACCTGAAGGGCCAAGGATCCCCTGATCTACCGAGTTTCAACCCCTCCGATGTATGAGACTAAGGAAACCCTCTAACACCATTGCAGCTGATTACAAAACCTATAAAGTTCATTAGCAATTGTAAAAAGCCAGTCTAATTAACATTCGAGTTATTCTATCATTGTTTCTTTCTCACTTCCTTACAGCACAAACATCAATGAAAGACCTGCCTATCAAAGGCTGTCGCCACAATGTTAAAACACTCACTGACTTTCTTACCAGCCACCATCTCTGTTATTTTGATGCCATGTATAAACATTTGACATGTTATATCTATTTCTTTTCTGAGGATGTGGACTTGTTCTTTAAGGTGCCGTCACGTTTTTGGGTTTTTTTGTTCATTTTTACCTATAGGTAGTACCTGTCAGGGGACCCTGCTCCTTTTTAAATAAATCGTAGCCAATTGTAAGCAGCGCCGGAGGGCCAAAAAGCCAGAATAAACCGCCTCGTTGCTTTAACACACCCGTGGCAAAAAAAACACGTCGAAGAAACAGATGCCCACGTTCATCAAATAACACGTGTCCGTCGGGGCTATAGCAGAGCCGAGCTCCGACCTCATCATCAGCCTTGCAAATAGACACACACACCCGCCGCCCTCCCAGCTCAGTTTTCCCTTGCCGCCGCCGCCTCCTCCCCGACCCTCCGCTCCGGACCTTGAGGCGGTTGAGCTGGGCGTTCAGCGCCGCCTTGACCCGCAGCAGCGTCTCTTCCTCCCGGCGCAGCTCCTGGAGACGGCTCAGCATCCTGCTCTCCCCCCTCCACCTCGGACGGCGCGGACCGATGACGTCGCCGGCGCTCCCGACTCCCAATAACAGCGACGCGGAGCCAGGCAGGCCCTGTTCTTTGAGGGAGGAAGTGGGACGTTGCCAGGCAGGCCATGTTCTTTTAGGGCGGAAGTCGGGCCGCCTCCCTTGAGGGCGAATCCCACTCCCGACGACGCGCCTGTTTTGCAGCGCTCATGCCCGGGGGTGGGGAGAAGAAGCATTAAGGAAGGGAGGGCCCCGCCGTCCAGGCCGCCTCCCTTCAGAAGAGCAGGTTAAAACACTGCCCCCCCAACCGCCCCACATGGGCCTCGAACCCCGAGGTGTGACCCCTCCGCGCCCCTTCTCCGCCCTTTGTGCCCAAGCCTTTCTCCGAAGAACCGTCTCGGGAACTCAGCAAGGGGGAGGCCTGGTCCTCAGCTCGTAGCTTGCAGGATGAAAGAAAGCACACACACACACACACCCGGGCCGAATGCAAAAATCAAAACACGAAGACGAAAACTTGGGCCTCGAAGCTTCCTGGACCCGTCCCGAGGAGAGGGAATGGACTGAACCACTTTGCCTTCCAGTTGAAAGCGGCAAGAAAGGAGGCCTCTGCTGACCCCGGGAGTGAAGCCGCTTAATAAATAGTTCCTTGGCACGAATAGAGGATTAAAAGAAAGATATGGTCCAAAAGAAAAAAATATATATCACTTTATCCGAACAAAGACGTTGTCTCTCTGACGGATGGAATATGACTATTCTATTCTATTGACAAACTAAGCACAGCTCTGGAAACTGGTCCTAGGTCTGTTAACTTCCTCGAAATGGCAGCATGGTTATTAACATCATCTTCAACTATTTTTCATACATGTAGGCTTTCATGTGCAAGAGCAGATACTTTTAGTAGACCACTAAAAAAATCGAACAGCCAGCTAGCTTGATGTTAATTCATCTTCCTCTGGCTGTGCAGCTTAAAATTACACTTTCATATCTTTTTACTTTTTGTGAATTCAGCTCTCCACACAGAATAACAAGAGAAGGCGCTTCAGAAGGCTATTTTGCTTGTAACTATGATCCAGCAAGTCAATTCAGACTTAGGTAAAGGTTCCCCTTGACATTTAGTCCAGTCGTGTCTGACTCTATGGCGCAGTGCTCATATCCGTCTCCAAGCCGTAGAGCCAGCATTTGTTTATAGACAGTTTCCGTGGTCATGTGGCCAGCACGAGTAGACATGGAACACCGTTATTACAGAGTTGTTTTCATTAACCATCTCAGCTTCAATCCCAAATACTCCAAGAGAACAATAACACAAGAACCTCTCTATCCATCCCGCTAGGGATGAAAGGATAGAAAGATAATACTTGCCCATAATTATAAACACAAGCTATGTACTAAGCAGCACTTTTATGCCTAGTCACAACACAGCCTGCCTTCTGTACCATCTGTACTCTGCTGAATTATAGTGTCAAGGATGGCATAGAAGTCTTGCTCCAAGATTAAGAAATTCCTCATTAGACAGATCTGATGGCAACAGGTTTGGGGGCTGAATTTTAGTTTGAGATTCTGTTATGGGCTGTACTTGATGGGTGTTTCTGCAACCTCATGTGCTGTTTCCAGTTGGTGTGGCTTGAAGGATCTTTCTGGCCTAGGATAGACTGTCTATCTAGCACTAACCAATGCAGTGGTGCCTCACTTAACGGGCGCACCGTTTAATGACGAATCCGCATAGCAACAAAGATTTTGCGATTGCATTGCAATGTTTTAAATGGGTAAAAATCGCTTTGCGATAATCGGTACCGTTACGCTTACCGATCATCGCAAAGCGAGGATTTTTTAAGAGCTGATCGGCAGTTCCAAAATGGCCACCGGGTAAACAAAATGGCCACCTGCTGTGTTTTCGCACCGATTCCTCGCTTACCGGGCAGCGAAAATGGCAGCTGTATGGAGGATTTTTGCTTAAAGGTGAGTTTTAAGCCCATAGGAATGCATTAAATGGGTTTTAATGCATTCCTATGGGCTTTTTCTTTTCACATAGCTGCACGGTTTATCGTCACTGTGCGGGGCACCACTGTAGTTCCTTCCCTGCCTCTGATGCAAGGAGATACCCACCTCTCTGCTCTGCCCCACCTCTTTTCTCCATTACAAGCAATCAGTCTGTTGAAAGCAGTGAGTCTGTTGCGTCCTGCTGCTGAGAATCAGTCAGACATGTTCAGTTTGCTGTCGATATCTTCAACTGTACATAGAATCTTTTTATTTTCTACTTCAGATGTCTGAGTTATTGAGACTGTAACTCAGTGCCCGTTGATGAGGAAAAGGGGTGGACTACTCTGTGGAGGCTGATGCTAATTTTGCTGTGAATCCCTTCACTTCTGCTTGCACAGCTAGAAGTATTTAATGCGTAATCAAGACTGATATGCTTTCAGTGAAATTCCTCTTAAGGTCCCCAAAACAAAATCCTATAACTAGGGCTTTTGAAAAAATGGTATTTTTTTAAATGGGTGTGTGTATTGGTGACTAGTCCAAACAAGTTTACAAACGTGTCTACACCAAACTTAAATACTGCTGTTAGGTTTGTATTTACCAAAGCTCTTACGTACAGTATCCTAAAATGGATTAAAATGCAAGGCCTAACTTCAGTTGCTAGTCCCAAAAGAACATACCCATTGATTCTACTGGAGTTATAGTAAGTGCTGAATTACCATTGCAAGATTCACTGGATCTGCTGTACTTGGAGAGGCAACTGGATCTAGGTGTTTACTAGAGACAGCAATCTTTCCTACAACTCTATGCACATAAAAAAGCCTATGCAGGACCACACAAGCAATGTGAAAGCCAGAGTGCTAAAAATATATTCAGGCATTACACTAATTGTACTGAAATTTATAGGTGCAAGTTTGTTTTACACAAACTTGTACTTAAATTTCAATACAACATTTATTCATTCTGGGGTAGTCTGGCTAGGAGTAAGTCACAGCAATGTTGTGCTATATTTGTGAGAATACATTGTGCATTTTAAGCATCATAAGCAGCAGTATCTGTAAAGGAAGGGGGATAAACCTGGTAAACATTTGAGACAGACATAGAATCATAGAATATTGAAGTTGGAAGGGGCCTGTAAGATCATCAAGTCCAACCCCCTGCTCGATACAGGATTACAAAGTCTGCCAGGTGGTTGTCTAAATTTCTCTTGAATGCCTGCAGTGTTAGAACACTCACCACCTCAAGGTAATTGATTCCACTGCTCTAATGAGGTTTTTCCTGATACCCAAATGAGATATGGCTTCCTGTAACTTCTTCTTGTTGTGCGTCCTGCACTCTGAGATTATCGAGAACAGATCCTGCCCCTCCTTTGTATGACAGCCTTTCAAGAATTTGAAGTTTTATCATATTACCCCAGTCTTCTTTTCTCAAGGCTAAATATGCCGTTCTTTAAGTCTTTCCTCATAGGACTTGGTTTGAACATCCTTGTTGCCCTCCTCTGAACTTGTTCCAATTTGTCAGCATCCTTCTTGAATCTGTGAAGATTCTCAGGCATCCATGTAAGGTTGAGACATGGCAACCATACTTGTTAGGTTGAAATGTTTCACTATGTCGAGGATGTATCAGGGGTGTCCTACCAACTCTCCTCTGCCTGAACCGTTTCAACCCAACAAGAAGTCATTGTCATGGCTCAGCTTCCAGACATCCTTCTTGAAGTGTGGTGGCCAGACAGTACTCTAAGTGAGTCCTAACCAGTGCTGAATAGAGGAACTAGCACCTCATGGGATTTGGAAGCTATACTTGTTAATGCAACCTAAAATAGCATTTGCTTTTTTTGTAGGTGCATCACACTCAGCTTGTGATCTATGACAATTCCAAGATCCTTCTCACCCGTAGTTTTGCTAAACCACGTATCCCCCATCTTGTAACTGTGCCTTTGGTTTCCTTTTTCGGAGGTGCAGTACTTTGCATTTATCCCTGTTGAATTTCATTCTGTTGCTTTTAGTCCATTGCTCCATCCTATTAAGGTCATCTTGAAGTTTGTTTCCGTCTTCTAGGACAGAGGTCATCAAACCCCAGTCTACGGCCTGGTGCCGGTCTGTGGGCTTGCCAGAACTGGGCTGTGGATACGGATCTCCACCCCCCACCTGCACATTTGGTGGGCATGTCATGCTTGTGGGGGGCGTTGCACCAGTGGTATGTCATGCTCATAGTGGGTGTGTCACTCATGTGTGAGCACAACACGCCCCCTGCATGGGCACAGGGGGTGCCCCCTCGTATATGGAGCTCGTTCCCCTGAGCTGGCCCGTGTCCCCAAAAAGGTTGGGGACTGCTGTTCTAGGGTACTAGCTATTCTGCCCAATTTTGTGTCATCTGCAAATTTGATAAGCATTCCCTCATCTAAGTCATTAACAAAAATGTTGAAGAGTACCAGTCCCAGGAGTAAGCCTCTGGGTACCCCACTTGTTACCTCCTCCCAGTTGGAGGAGTCATTAATCACCACCTATGATTTTGGAGCCAACTGTGTATCCATCCGACACATGATCAGCTCACACGTAGTTAGCTTTCTAATCAGGATATCATGGGTCACTTTGCTGAAGTCCAGATATAATAGTGTTCCCTCTATCAAGGTTACCCAATGAAATCAGATTAGTCTGGGTAGGGTGTGGTAGCAGCATCTCTTTGCTTCTATCTACCTCCCTTAATATTGTTTATAGCTCAACAGTTTAACTCCTTCCCACATAGTTTTTACAACTCCCTTTTTAATATTGTTTATAGCTCAATAGTTTAACTCCTTCCCACATAGTTTTTACATTATTTTTGATGCAGTCTTTTAGCCAGAATTATTGCCCTTACTGAAGACAGGAACATTAGCTCTCCGCCAATCATTTGGCATCTCACCTGTAAATGGACAGTGGTTCTGAGAGTTTTTCAGTACCTTCAGATGCAGTTCATCCAACCCTGGTGATTTGAACTCATTCAGGGTTATAAGGTATTCAATCTTCAGATGCAATCTAGTTTCCTCCCCCCACTTGCACTTCACATTTGTCTGGAGTGTCATTCTCTGTCCTATGGGAACAGATTCTGATCTGGATTGCAGAATCACCCAGTCCATGAAAGCATATTGACTAGTTTCTGCATTTCCATTTTAGGTAACAGAAAACACAGTGAGGACACTACTGTAAATAGATCTTTAGATTTTTATTAACTGTAATTCACGGTACAGCCCTTTTCAGTACTGAAACAGGCAAAATGCAAAAACCTGCCATGTTTATGCTGTACTTTCAGTCTTTGCAGCTGCAGCCTGAACCTTTGCTTTCCCCTTTGCTGCTTTCTCTTCTCTGAGCTTGTGCTGTAGTGAGGAAAAATACCATTACTCTTATTATTCTGAAACACAGGTATAATTTTAATCAACTCTGAACTCTACTCACATTTTTAGCATGACGCAGAATGGTGTTGCGTCTCATAGTCTTGGCATATGGATTCAGTTTAATCATAACTCTCAAATTCTTCAGTGGATTCTTCTTAAGAACTCTGCGATGAATCTTCTTCCTGAAGAAGCAAGTTAAGAGGAATATACACAATTCTATTATTAATAGAAATTTGTCTTAGTGTTTTAAGGAACATCAATTTTTTTATTAGAGTCAAAATAGCAACTGGAAAGAAAAGGCAAGAAAATTACTATTACCCATGCATGTTTTTGCCAGAACAAGACATTTATAGAAGCAGATGTTTGAACTTTAACTCCTTGTATTCTAAAAATACCTAATTAAGTCATGTACTCCTTTACCATTCACACTGAAGTCTGAAAGACAGAGCACTTACTTTGGTGGACGCAGGGCTTTCTGGATTTCTTGACTTTTCAGGATTCTTCCAAGATCTGTATTAGTCATCTTGTGCATTGGTAGGCTGTATGGAAACACTGTAGATTACACTACTGCTAAATCAAACTGTCTCCTCTATTTAAAACAAAAAACAAATTCTGTCTAACAAACAAACTCTGCGTCATCTGGGGTACCATGCTACGTACATATCTTCCATCTCTATTCATGACATGACAGAGCAGAAGTTCGAGTATCCCAACCTGAAGAGGAGCAGTATCTGGCTCACACTGTACTCTAAACCAGTGGTCCCCACCATCCCCCCATGCTTGCACCCATGCGCAAAGGGGGCACTCATGCACATGCACAAAGGGGTGTGTGCACATGCTCATGTGCAAAGGGGGGCACTTGCGCGGGGCATGCTTGCACGCATGTGTGAAGGGGCTGTGCAAGGGGTGTAGGAGATCTGTCTCCACGGACCAGGACCCCTGCTCTAAACTATCTTCCAGACACTCTACTCCACCACATGCTCTTCTACAATCATTTCAGACTAAAACAGAACGATTCAATCTGTATCTAAAATAATCTTACTTGTAGTCACTTTTCAGAGTGGCTGGTTTACGCCAAGTGCCATACAAGTCATCCAACTTGTGGAAAGCACTTTCAGTCCAAATGCAGAAGCGTCCAACATGGCCACCAGGAGCAAGTCTCAAAAGGTTCAACTTGTTGACATCGAGAAGAGTAATTCCTATTAGATAAGATAATAGTTGTATTAAAAACTGCAAACAAATCTTACCTATGAAAAACCAAGATAACATTCTAAACTTTCAGAATATACATGATATGTGTCTAAAGGACATTTCCTCTAAAGATTTCCCCATTTGTATCAAATCAGAACTTCCACCAAATCATGTGTTTCAGAAACACGGACCAATGAAGTGGAATATCATCATTTTTAAACCTTGTTAACCACAAGCGTCAACATCTTGTATCATAACTCAAAACAATACCTGGAATATTCCTGAAAGCTTTAATGATGCCGTTGTCCTCATTGTAGATTATGCAGGGCCCCCTGCGCTGGATACGGCGGCGATTCCTCATTTTACCTTTGCTTGCACGCATACGCTGAGAGGCATAGACCTGGGTGAAAACATCATAGTTATTAAAAAGCCCACCCTAAATAGACCAGTTTTCAGGACTTAACAAACATTTCTGCAACTCAGTATTTCACCATCACCACAAATAGACCACTGTTTTCAGGACTTAACAAATGTGTTTCTGCAACTCAGTATTTCACCATCACCACTGTTCATCTGAAACACGGACCAGTGAAAAATTCATCACTTTGCATGAGTAACTAACAGCAATTAAGAATCAGTCTGAATGTGTTTTAAGAAATTCTAAGTATGAACTTTCAAACTGAATGCACTGTTTTATCATTCCACTACTACATGATACTACCTTTACTTTGGCATTAATGATCAGATCACCTTTTTAATATCATTCCAGGCTTTCAGCTTCTTAAGAAGTAAAACAGCTTCCTTTGTCTTCTTATAGCCCTCAACTTTGTCTTCAACAACTAGAGGAAGTTCTGGAATCTCCTCAATGCGGTGACCTGACAAGACAGAAGTTCGTATTTAAATGCACATTGATGGTGATGGCGCAAGACACTGAAAGTTAAAGTCAGGAAGAAACTCTTCTATATGGCTATGAATTGAAAAACCTATATATGACATTGCTATCTACATAAAGACTAATATTTCTCTACTTCTAGATTTCGAGGAATCCTACTCCAAAATTTACCCAGAATGACTTTTGTTGGTAAGAGAGAAAAAGTTGCACCTATGGGCCTAAGTGTTCCATTCCATGTGTTTGTGCTTTGGCTGCCAGGTGTTGGCTGGAAGTCACTGCAATACTCCATGGAAGGATAGTCTCACTGTCAATTAAGATTTATAGAGGAGCTTCTCAAGAAACTATGTTTCCCACTGCTTGGGGGATTCTGGTGCATTCTCAGAGTGGGAGTCCTAAAAATTCAAAGTCCCATCCCAACTCCATACATACCCCCCAAACTATCAAGCACACTAGTCAAGTATATACAGTGGCGCCTCACTTTACGATTACGACGCATTACGACAAAACCGCATTACGACGATCTTTTTGCGATTGCAAAACGATGGTCTGAATAGGGTTTTTTCCCTTTGCGATGATCGGTTCCCTGCTTCAGGAACCGATTCTTCGAAAAAACGATTTTCCTACAGCTGATCGATGGTTTCAAAATGGCCATGGCTAAATAACATAGCTCTCTGCTGTTTTCTGGGACAGATTCCTCGCAAGAGTCACTGAAAATGGCCACCCTATGGAGGATCTTCGCTGGACGGTGAGTTTCCAGCCCATTGGAACGCACTGAAGGGGTTTCAATGGGCTTTTTATTTTCGCATTATGTTTTCGTTCTACAGCGACTTCGCTGGAACGAATTAATGTCGTAATGCGAGGCATCACTGTACTCCTTTTCTATCAGCTTGTATTTGAGTTATAATAAACTGATATAAAGTATTATTTGAACCAGAACTCAGAAAGGTTAAATTTAATCATGTGATCCCCTCAACTGCACTCCTGCATCGGCAGTATTAGCACATATTGTTTCACAATCTTTGTCCAGATTGTCTCCACCTGCAGTATTCCTCTGTTCACTGATACTGAATGTCTGAGAGTATGCCTTTTCAGAGAGATAAAAGTTCAATTCTGTCTACACAAAACGGCAATATCTAGGTTGTCACTAAAGCATGGGTCTCCTGCAGGCCATATCCAACCTCTTTTGCCTTTTTATCTGGCCCTGTGGGCATGCACGGGAGCGTGTATGCACATCTTCCTTTGGCCCCCCAAAATCTGGAACATACATTGTTGTGGCCCTCACTGAAAAGTTTGAAGGAATCAGCTCTAAAGTAATCAGCATCACTCAAAGAAACTCTTAAAAACAATTCTTGACATTTTAATCAGCCTTTCAAAAACTTCCACAATTATATCACATCTTGAGAAATGAAACCGCAATCAGAAAATAAAGTGAACTGCTGTAGGTATTTCTGGAGACATAAAACCAACTTAAGAATATAGCTTTGAGAATAGTATTTACCAATGTACAAAAAAAAAGATAATTACTCTAAATGTGCACAGATATGGAAACTTATAAAATTAAGGCACTTTTGTAAACAGGACCCTATTTACAAAAGTTTCGAAATGACTGCATACACTACTCCATAAGAATCAGAATATGTTTTAATTAAAACTAAGGTGATTAATTTTTTTTAAAAAAGCATTCTAACAATTTTCAAAATCCAATTTGAGTAAAATTAAATTTTTTAAAAATATTTTTTTAGATTTTTATCTACTGTCTTCCACCATCCTATAAATATTAACTCTTCCACTATAGTCCTGCCAGTCAGCTTTATACTAATGGCCACATATAAAGAACATACTTGCCTTTAGACATAACCAGTGCTGGAAGGGCTGAGGCTGCCAGAGCTGAGCAGATGGCATAGCGTTTCTGGGTTACATTTACTCGACGATGCCAGCGACGCCAAGTCTTGGTTGGGGCAAACATGCGACCTCCACGACACATCTATTCAGCCAGGTAAAGAATAGTACTGCAATTTTTATTGTAGAAGACCACCTTCCAGCCTTGCTCAGAGTTAGGTGTTCAGCAACCATCTGTACCAGCCTAATGACAGCAGGCAACTGTCGCTGAGCACAGTGTAAGACGCAAATTACGACATCATAGCAAGTATGGATCTGTCTGCTGTTTTCTAACTATGCCACATATTGTACATGGCACCAAGTTCTTGGTTATCTCCAGCAGTGTTTCTAAACGTTGAGCCCTAAAGGTTCTCAGAAAGCTTTTAGTCACACTACTAACATACTGTACATGGCACCAAGCTCTTGGTTATTCCAGCAGTGTTTCTAAACGTTCTCAGAAAGCTTTTAGTCACACTACTACAATGATTTTTTATGTGTTGACATTAACATTATTTTACAGAGAAAACCATTATTAGCTCTTGAGTGCATAATCTGAAGGGGAAACCAGAATTAAGGATACATTGCCGAAAGCACCCTGGCCTGATCGATGAGTTCCACCACCACGAACCCTTGGGATACGAGCAACTGCTCTTCCAGTGCCCCAAGATTCAGCACTGGTCTGATGCCCTAAAAAATTAAATACAGAAGTTATTAATTACTAAATGCAAGGCCTCATCCCTATAAGTGTAAAAGGCAAAAAGAGAACTTTTACCCATATCACAGAGCTCAAACACATGGATCAATGTGTGGCACATAAAAAATTAACTGCTGTAGAAGCTCATCTTCCATATCTGAGTGACTAAACATGTAGCCCTACAATATCCACACGTTTTTATGCAACACATGAAGTGGACTAAAATTACTCTAGATTTTAATGTAACTAATCATTTTATTTCATTTATGTGCCATCTTTCTATAAATGCAGCTTGCAAGTTAATTTAAAGAATTGTTAAAATTAAATAACAATACTTCTCAATCAAGTCCATTGATCAAAACTTGCTAGAAGAGAAAGCCTTTTTGTCTGCAGGCAGCAAAGGGGTCCAATGTTGGCTGACATGGAAATAATTTCCACAGCCTAAAAAGGTCCTCACTCACATTCTTACCAGAGATGAGGCTGCAGGACCAAGAGAAAGACTTCCCCTGATGGTTTTCAAACATATGAATGCTCATATTAGGGGATAAAGTCTTCAGACAGACTTATGGCTTTGTTAGTCATAAACAGCACCTTGACTTGCTGCCTGAAACAACTTGTCAGTGTAGCTTTTTCGACAGGAAAGTTATAACTAACTCCAGCCAACTACATATTGTCATTTTTATTTTAAAATCAGTGGGCTGTTCTAAAATGCCCACTAAACTTTCTTTATACTATGGAACAATATAACATATTGTTAAATCTCACCTGCAAGTTCACTGACAGCATAGGGCTGCCTATTGTTCTTCCGCAAATTGGTATGAACGAAGTTCACAATATCTGGACGAATAGGAGCCTTGAACACAGCTGGCATGGTGACATTTTTACCCGATACCTCACCCTTTTCAGAGTATACCGATACTAATGGACGAGTACAAGCCTGGGAGAAGGGGAAGAAAAAAGAAAAACATTCTTAAATATCAACACTCAGTGTTGTGCCAGGTATTGAACAGTAGCAATTACACTAATCTATAAAACACTGCAAACCACATCTAGTGTATTCCATATGCCCTTACTCTGATTTCTAAATTCTGACGCTTACCAAAGGCAATGCTTCCAAAAACTAATGCCACTACATTCAAGATAGAGATGTGCTGCAAGTGGACATTTTAATGCAGCATTCTTAAATAATGCCACTACATTCAAGATAGGGATGTGCTGCAAGTGGACATTTTAATGCAGACTGAAATTTAAAATACAGGAAAACATGTGAACAGGTTGTTAAAGAGGGTCTACATTTTGTATGTTATATGTACTACTTTTGAGCATATGAACAGCAAAAATATTAATATGCATGTAACAAGTAGCCATGTGAGATCAGCTCAAAGATCTACAGTTTATTATTCTGTTAGCAGCCAATTAGATGCCTAGGAAGATATCATCACATTTATATGTACTACTACTTTTGAGCATATAAACAGCAAAAATATTAATATGCATGTAACAAGTAGCCATGTGAGATCAGCTCAAAGATCTACAGTTTATTATTCTGTTAGCAGCCAATTAGATGCCTAGGAAGATATCATCACACAAACATAACCTCACTTTCCTATTTGTGCTCCCCAGCAACTGACATTCAAAGCAGATATATGGGACTGAAAAATTTCCCATGCTATATTATTCTGGAGGAAAATTCTCACATCACACATGTCTGTGTCAATTCAAGTTCTCTGCACTTTTTTAGTGCAATCAATATCAGATGCACTAACTATAGGAAATGAGCTTGTGTAAGTTATTCTTCTCATAAGGCAAGCGATGACGAACTCTAATATTTAGTTACCAAGGAGGAAACTGAAACGTAAGGTATACCAACAGCTTCCCGTAGTTGCCTTCTGGGTAGATCTTGATCAAACTTATGTATAGTATATTTGCTCACTACTGCTAACATTCTTCAATAACAAGCTTAATAACATTAAGCTGAGTAACATTTATACATAGATTGGAAAATTTTCTGGATAAAAATCCCATTTCTACTTTTTCCTGCATTATAGGTTGCCACACATACTTTCTCTCAATCTGGAGAGAATATTTATCACAACTATTGACAGTCGTATTGTCCAGAAATCTTTTATCGATAATTTTACAAACCGACTCTTAGCCATGATTACAGGCTTCTCCACTCAGTATCATCTACTAACACCCAAGGCTCTTCCCTATACTCCCATGCATCTGCTCGGCCTGCAAGCCTTGTTTTCAAGAGCATATCACATCTAGGATGTGCAGATTATTGCTCTTCTGCATCTGTATGTAGCATCTTAAAAAAAACAATCAATAATCTGCCTTGAACCTTAAGGCCGGATGGCTCCGTGGCTTAGGTATCGGATTTAAGTTCAATTCCCAAACTGGGCCTCCTGGGAGAAGAGCCAGCCTGTGTGGCCTTGGGCAGACTGCACAGCCACAAGAAGCCCCCAAAAGAAGGGGATGGCCAACCACACTTATGACTACAGGTCAGAACTAACGACTGTTTAATTTCAAACCATACATTTGTCCCTCCTTCCTAAAAGCGCCGGCTATCCATCCCCTTCTCAGCTCCCTTAATTTCTAAATGCGGCGTTTTTCCCGGGGAGGCGGTGGATCTCCTCCCCCACCCCCGTCCGGCCTCTTCATCCACCCCGCAGGCCGGCCCCCCCAGCCAGGCTCTGCTTCCACGCGGCAGCGGTGAATCCTCCGCTCCAAGATGGCGCCTGGCTGGCTGGCTGGCCGGCCACACCGCTCTGCTTCCCCGAAGCCCTCGGCAGCCCCTCTTCGCCTCTCTCCGTGGCATCGGCCCTTGAGACGTCGCCCCGTCCTCGACCTCCCTCCCGGGAACACCAGCCGCCCCTTCCCTTCTCTCACCATGGTGGCACCGCTCGCGACGGGCGGCGGAGCGCCTCAAGCTTCCCTCTCCCTCGGCCACGGCCCAGCCGGAAAAGGAAGGTCACGTCGCCGCCGACTCCGTTTTGTTCCTTGCGCGGTCTCCCCTGCTTAGCTCCGCCTCCCTCCGTTTACGCCGGTCCCGAAATTCAGTCATTCCTCCCGAGACTTCACTTAAAATTAGTGCCGCTCTTTTAGCTAATGGACGCTGAGGAAAATGATATCTCCAAGCGCGCCCTTCGCATGAAGCCGCTTCAGAAGGGCGAGGGACTATTTTTTTTGACGAGAAGGCCGAGCCTGCTCACTTTGGCGGAGGGATTCTTCTTCATCCGGGTCTCGCGGCAGGAGGGAAGAAAAAAGTCCTGGCGCGCAGCTTTGATTAGGCGGAGGGGGGAAAAAAAGGACGACGAGGAGGAGAAGCCCCGCCGGGGGAGCTATGGCGTCTCGGCGGCCGGGGCGGATGGAGGAAGAGCCGGTTCGCCAGTTCCAGGGCTTTCTCCAGCAGTTAGTAGTCTAATCTTTCTCCTCTCTCTTTCTTTTTTTGTAATTTGGCCGTGTTTTTTTTTTTTTTAAAAGCTTTTTTTGTTCCAGACTGTCAGACAGTCCTCGCGACTGTCTTGCAAGGTAGGACAAGGCAGTGAGGTTTTTGTCCCCGAATGGCTCCTAAAGGAGGGACGCGCTTCGTGAGAGAAGCGGTGAAGGGTGAGGTAAATCCAGAACTAGAGAATGAAAAAGGACTTCATAAATCCACTCCGACGCCAGTCCCATTGGTTCAATGGGTTTCCTTTAGTTATCCGGTGCATTTGTCTCTCAGTGAATTCAAGGGGGGCATCTTTCTCCTCCCCCCTATAAAGCCTCACAACTGCTTTGTGAAGTAGATCTGTAGGAGTGTTGTGACAGGCCAGAGGTTTCCAGGTGGAAGGTAACAATTGGATTTCGCCCTTATGAGTGTCAGCCCATTAACAACACTATTCTAGTCTCTTACAACGTTAATATATACGAAATTTAATTCCTTTGTGCAGCTTTGATGTGACTCATCAAAGTTAAGGTTTGTAAATAAGAATCTGCTGGCAAGCCTCACATGTAGGTAAAAGTGGTCCAAAGTTGCCTATCTGGGGCTTCTGGTCGAGTGGTGAACACCTCAAGTCACATCTTAAAACCGTGTTTCCCCGAAAATAAGACAGGGTCTTATATTAACTTTTGTTCCAAAGAACACATTAGGGCTTATTTTCAGGAGATGTTTTATTTTACAGTCCTGTCATCTTCTGGTTACTGCCCAAGGGTGAAGGGTGGGGTTTCACTTTACTGGGGTTTATTTTTGGGGTAGAGCTTATATTACAAGCATCCCGAAAAAATCCTATTAGGGCTTATTTTCAGGTTAGGTCTTATTTTCAGGAAAAACAGAAGTGAATTTATTGAAAATGTTAGCATGTTGAAGAAAAAGCAACTGAGTGAGACTGTGTTTAGTGAGTTTCGGAGCTGGTTAATACTAAGAGGAAGAGACTTTGTTCTGCCTTGTCTCAAGTAGCATGAGAACCAGCAGAAGGGCCTCTAAAGAGGGTCTTAACACCCGACAGGTACATATGGGAGAAGACGGCAATTTTCACGGTGGAGAGAGTTGAAGAGCGGTGTGTCCCAGGGATCTGTCTCAGGAGCAGTGCTTTTCAGTTTGATCATAAATGACCTGGAGACAGGGATAAGCAGTGAGGTGGCCAAGTTTGCAGATGAAACGAAACTTTTCTGCGTGGTGAAGACCAGAAGGGATTGTGAAGAACAGGTACATATGGGAGAAGACGGCAATTTTCACGGTGGAGAGAGTTGAAGAGCGGTGTGTCCCAGGGATCTGTCTCAGGAGCAGTGCTTTTCAGTTTGATCATAAATGACCTGGAGACAGGGATAAGCAGTGAGGTGGCCAAGTTTGCAGATGAAACGAAACTTTTCTGCGTGGTGAAGACCAGAAGGGATTGTGAAGAGCTCCCGAAGGATCTCTCCAAACTAGG